TAGTATGTTCAAACAATGGTTTTGGTTACGGTATAGGATTTGCCTTATAATAGTCATTTGCCAATGACTATTATGTTATGCTTCTCCTTAATGAAATAATATTCAACATAGAAGAGAATTTCTAATCCTATTGGCTTTGCAAAGGAGGATTGACATCTAATTCAAGCTTCCCTAAACTATGCAAGCCTCTAAATAGAGCAGGAAAAGGTGGATAGGCCAAGATACACTCCTATTTGGTACTATTTATTATTAGAATTTGATTGACTAAAGGCATACACTCTCAGCTGGACAGTAAAATTCTGATAGGGACTTTGAACAAACGTCAGTAGTCTGGGGTTCATACTGAACCTGTTTCAGGGAAGGTATGAATTAAGTGAAAAGCCATTCCTTTTCTTTTAACTTCTCCAGAATGTTTATTCCTATTTGAAAGTTGCTTTCAGAAAATATTTATTTTATGTTGAGAATAAGGTAGTACATTTGTCTTATTCAGCCCAGTGACCTCTGCAGTATAGTTTATTCAATCATTTATTTTTTCCTCCTGGTTTCCTCCTCAAGATGGTTGTTTCCAAATAATTTTACTTGCAAGTATCCCAATGGAATCCACCCATCTCTTTTGATTAGTATTTTTTTAAAGATAATAGCATAGAGGCCATTATTTGTATTTCTCTTGTAATGCTAGTGTAACTTTTCAAAAAAGCAGTTGATAGATTCCAAGTTTTTGATCATTGAAAAAGCACTGTTGGGCCAGGTGTGGTGGCTTACATCTATAATCCCAGCATTTTGGGAGGCCAAGGCGGGCAGATCATAAGGTCAAAGAGATCGAGACCATACTGGCCAATGTGGTGAAACCCTGTCTCTAGTAAAAATACGAAAATTAGCTGGGTGTGGTGGCACATGCCTGCGGTTCTAGCTACTTGGGAGGCTGAGGCAGGAGAATCGCTTGAACGTGGGAGGCGGAGGTTGCAGTGAGCCTAGATCGCACCACTGCACTCCAGCCTGGTGACAGGGTGAGACTCCGTCTCAAAAAAAAAAAAAAAATAAATAAATAGCACTGTGTTTCAATACTTTGTGCTAGAGACTTCTGGCATTTATGTTTTCTTCTTTAAGGTGAAGTCTTATAACCTGTTTGGGTAAAGATAATGAAAATTTAGGACTATAAGGAGTCCCTAATAAATTATTTTTATAGAACTTGGAGGATTGGATAATTTTGTTATGATTTTTATGTTTGTCTATTGTGATGAAAGGGAAATATAAAATCATCATAGTATTTTTATTTAATGGAATATTCATAACAAATGATAGTTTTGAAGAATTTATATTAATATAAACATATGTTAATATAGTTAAAAGAAAAACAAAAACAGTATTTAGCATTGTTTGCAAAACCAAATCCTAAAGCAAGAAAACTTACTCAGAATAAAGCCTGAAAAGAGATATTCAAAAAATTAATCTTAGTATCTTTACTGAAATTTCTAAGTTTCTAAAATAAATACGGATACATATGAATAAAAGAAAAATGTAATTCAAAAAAAAGAATGGAAGCAGGTACATAATTATATTAGAAAGGCTCAGTAAAAATCATCAAATCTTAATTTAAATAGGCAATTTCTGGAGATCACACATAGAGGCTGAGCTGCACTGCATGCTCATTAGGATGTTTTTCACATCCTAAGTTATATCAGAAGAAATAACTGTACTTTTAAAAATTTTCTGATGCAGGGACGTTTTAATGGATCATTTAATTTTATAGAAGTATTATCTGTATCCTAGGTTTAATGAAATAGGTTAAAAAATAGTAACTAAAAATTTTGCCAAACAAAGTAAGTGAACAATCTCATTAACTTGAAACTGTTCTGATATGACTGATTTGGAGGCTTTACTTAAGTAATGCTAGATATTGAATTTACAGGTTCAACTTGGCAAGAATGAGGAGGGAAAAATGAGTAGAGAGCCTTCCGAGAACTTACCTTTTTATTTCTTAAAAAGAAGTAGGCCGGGCATGGTGGTTCATGCCTGTAATTCTAGCACTTTTTGGGGCCAAGATGGGTGGGTCACAAGGTTAAGAGATTGAGGCCATCCTGGCCAACATGGTGAAACTCCATCTCTCCTAAAAAAACAAAAATTAGCTGGGCCTGGTGGTGTGTACTTGCAGTCCTAGCTACTTGGTAGGCTGAGGCAGGAGAATTGCTTGAACCTGGGAGGCAGATGTTGTAGTGAGCCGAGATCACACCTGGCAACAAAGTGAGACTTTGTCTCAATATAAAAAAAGTACATAGTTATGAAACAAAGCACAGAATTCCAAAACCACTTTGTTCTTAGGAGGGAAGCTATATTAGCCTGTTTTCATGCTGCTGATAAAGACATACCTGAGTCTGGGAAGGAAAAGAGGTTCAATTGTACTTACAGTTCCTCGTGGCTGGGGAGGCCTCAGAATCGTGGTGGGAGGCAAAAGGCACTTCTTACATGGTGGTGGCAGGAGTAAATGAGGAAGAAGTGAAAGCAGAAACCTTTGATAAACCCATCAGATCTCATGCGACTTATTCACTATCATGAGAATAGCATAGGAAAGACCAGCCCCCATGATTCAATTACCTCCCCCACGTTACTCCTACAACACGTGGAAATACTGGGAGATACAATTGAAGTTGAGATTTGGGTGGGGACACAGCCAAACCATATAATACCACCCTGGCCCCTCCAAATCTCATGTCCTCACATTTCAAAACCAATCATGCCTTCCCAACACTTGCCTAAAGTCTTAACTCATTTCAGCATTAAGCCAAAAGTCCACAGTCCAAAGTCTCATCCCCGACAAGGAAGTCCCTTTCACCCATGAGCCGGTAAAATCAAAAGCAAGCTAGTCACTTCCTAGATAGTATGGGGGTACAGGCTTTGGGTAAACACAACCATTCTAAATTGGAGAAATTGGCCAAAACAAGGGGTTACAGGGCCCATGCAAGTCTGAAATCCAGCAAGGCAGTCAAATTCTAAAGCTCCAAAATGATCTCCTTTGACTCCAGATCTCACATCCAGGTCACACTGATGCAAGAGGTGCATTCCCATGATCTTGGGCAACTCTGCCCCTGTGGCTTTGCAGGATACAGCCTTTCTCCTGGCTCCTCTAGCAGACTGGTATTGAGTGTCTGCGGCTTTTCCAGGTGCATAGTGCAAACTGTCAGTGGATCTACCGTTCTGGGGCCTGGAGAACAGTGGCCCTCTTCTCACAGCTCCACTCTGCAGTGTCCCAGTAGGGACTCTGTGTGGGGGTTCCAACACCACATTTCTCTTTTGCACTGCCCTAGCAGAGGTTCTCCACGAGGGCCCCGCCCCTGCAGCAAACTTCTACCTGAGCATCCAGGTGTTTCCATACATTTTCTGATCTAGGTGGCGGTTTCCAAACTCCAATTCTTGATTTCTGTGCACTTGCAGGCTCAACACCATGAGGGAGCTGCCAAGGCTTGTGGCTTCCACTCTTGGAAGTCATGGCCTGATCTCTACATTGGCCCCTTTTAGCCACCTCTGGAGCAGCTGGCATGCAGAACACCAAGTCCCTAGGCTGCACCCAACAGGGGGTCCCTGGCCCTGGCCCACAGAACCATTTTCTTCTAGGCCTCTCACCTGTGATGGGAGGGGCTGTTGTGAAAACCTCTGACATGCCCTAGAGACAATTTCCCCATTGTCTTAAGGATTAATATTTGGCTCCTTGTTACTTATGCAAAATTCAGCAGCCAGCTTGAATTTCTCCTCAGAAAATAGGTTTTTCTTTTCTATCACATTGTCAGTCTGCAAAGTTTCCAAACTTATGCTTTGCTTCCCTTATAAGACTGAATGCCTTTAATAGCACCCAAGCCATGTAGTGAGTGCCTTGCTGCTTAGACAGTTCTTCTGCCAAATACCCTAAATCATCTCTCTCAAGTTCAAAGTTCCACAAATCTCTAGGGCAGGGGCAAAATGCCACCAGTCTCTTTGCTAAAACATGACAAGAGTCACCTTTGCTCCAGCTCCCAGCAAGTTCCTCATTTCTGTCTAAGACCACCTCAGATTGGACCTTATTGTCCATATCGCTATCAACATTTTGGGCAAAGCCATTCAACAAGTCTGTATCCTGTTTTCTTCTGAGCCCTCCAAACTGTTCCACCCTTTGCTTGAAACCCAGTTCCGAAGTTGCTTCCACATTTTCGGAGATCTTTTCAGCAATGCCCCACTCTACTGGTATCAATTTACTGTATTAGTCCGTTTTCCTGCTGCTAATAAAAACATAACTGAGAGTGCAAAGCAAAAGAGGTTTAATTGGACTTACAGTTCCACATGGCTAGGAAGGCCTCAGAATCCTGGTGTGAGGAGAAAGGCACTTCTTACATGGTGGCAGCAAGCGAAAATGGGGAAGAAGCAAAAGCAGAAACCCCTGATAAACCCATCAGATCTCATGAGACTTATTCACTATCATAAGAATAGCATGCAAAAGACTGGCCTCTATGATTCAATTACCTCCCAATGGGTCCCTCCCACAATGTTGGAATTCTGGTAGTTACAATTCAAGTTGAGATTTGGGTGGGGACACAGCCAAACTATATCAAAAACTTAGCCACATGGTGACATATCAGAACTTAAGAGGATGGCCAGAAAGCAATTCCCTGTGAGCCGGGATGGTTTTCCTAACACATTCTCTCATGGTAAATTAGGTAAGACTTTTATGCCAATAAATATGGGGAATAGATATATCTGTTTAGGTAAATTTTTTGGAAATTCCTACAGCATGGAATGAGAAGAAGTTACAAATTAGCTTCTGGAATTACAGTAAAAAAAGTTGAATAGCTTAATAGATTCTACATTTTAATTGTATGATTTAAAAATTTCTGAATTTGTGAATTTCAAAATGCCACCACATTTGCAATAACATGTAAATTATAAATTTCAGAGAAAAATACAATTATTTCTAGATTAGTTGTACATTAAACTTGTTTTTTCTTTACTTACTAATTTAACAAAAACAAATTAAATGACATAATATCTATAAAACCTTTGTAATGATGCCTGGAAATTTATATTCTGTGTTACTATTGTTAATATCCAAGACTTAATGTAGCCTGAGTTCTTTCTGCTGTACTCCATACAAGACAGCATGATAGGATGAACAAAGGTCTGGACCAAGTCATTAGAATGTATTTGGAGAAAGGATCTCAGCAGTTTATAGTAGCAGATTGAAAATGGTATAAGACATGTCTTCAAGGCTTCTGATTGGTTATGTAAAGTACAATAATGGGTCTCATATAATTAAGTCTTTAGGGCATTGTTCTTGAAACTTCTAAAAGTTTTGAATATATTTTGCCTGGAGCAATTTAAAGTTATGGCTTAGAAATTTGCAGAAGTCCCTGAGAGCAGGAAATATTTAAATTGCCTCCCTGAGCCTAAGGAAGGTTCTTCAGAGAATTTCCTGGGTCATCTCAATGGGACAATGTTTCCACATGGGCTTCAGGGACAAATGTAATGTGCCATATTCACAAATTGAACTGCCCAATATTTTGTTCTCCTCTTACATTTGAACAAGCAGAACTAAAGTACCGTCCCTTTGTAAATGTATCTGATGTAATGTATGGAGTTTTGAAACAATTTAGAAATAACACCTTTGTTATCAATATTTTACAGATAATTTAACCTGTGCCATTATGGCTTCCAAGCAGTGACCCCCTTCTTCAGAAATCCATCAGCTTCACAGAAAATTTTGCTGGACAGCCTAAAAGTAGAAGATCAAGGCAAACTATTCCGCTGTGCATTGCAACCTAGGAAATGAGCCAACATTCCATTTAGAGGTAATTGCTGAAGGCATATTACTAACACAAATCTAAGGGTGGGAGTCAGCCTTATGAAATGAATTGAAATAAGCCATGTGTTTTGAAAATGTGATATTTCTTATTAGAGAAAGTATACAGGAAATAGTTTCAAAAATCCAAGAGGATTGTCTCAGATATAATCAGAAAATTGAAAAAAAAAGAAAAAATATTACCAACAAACTAAGTAATTTTAACATTCAAAACAGATGATGTTTATATTTATAGTTTTTTTCAACAGTCCTACTGCAGAATATGTTTATAATTTCTAACTGGAAATAAAGTTATATAACTATATAAATAACAGTATATAATATAGCTCTGTGGTCCTCACTTTATTACAAGCACACGTGTATGCATCTAACAGTGTCATCTTTCTTCTGCTGCTCAATAGGCAGCCGATCTTTACTCTTGATCCAGAATACAGAGCAGTCTGTTATCACCAAAGTTCTGATTCTGTGGCCACTTAAATCACAGCACCAATTCAGGTTTATTTTGTTCTGTTTAGCAAATGTCCGTCCAGTAGTAATCATGAGTAGACAATATTCTAGCATGGTCCCTGTCCCACAGCCTCTAACTAGGTGTACTATTTGAAACCCAAACATTTTATTACTTGTTCTTGAATATATCTTTGAATTTGTGAAAATGTAAATAAAGAGGAGCAATGAGTCTTTAGCTAGTAGGAAGAATTTTGACTTTTTATGCTTGCATGAGTATTTTGGAGATGTTTGAATATTTTTAATGTTTTTTGTTGCTGGCAATGCATTTGTATGATGACTTTAGATCTAATACTTGTGAGATATACAAGCACACATTTACATTTTAGATGAATGAACTGAAATAGCCTCTATTTAAACATGTCACCCTGTATGTTCCTTGTTTTAAACTGCAGTGGACTTTTGTTATAATGGTATAACACTATTCCCTGCAAAGTGAGTACACATTAGTATATTGCACATCTATCTCATATCATGGATGTGGTAAAAAGAAAATAGTAGGTTGAGTTAGATGAAAAGAGACTTGATACCTGAGAAAGTCTGATTAATGAAATTCCAAAGATACTTGTGCAGTGGTTGATACTAGGGACAGAGATATAAAAGAACTTGATTGAGAGAAGAACAAGTCAACAGAAGAAAAGAAGACACTAAAGCAGTGCTTACTACATGCTATGTACTTTACATGCATTGCCTATTTATTCTCTCAAGAATCCCATTATAAGCCTGTTAAGACCCCCATGTTGTAGATGAGATTCAGAGAAGTTATACTTTGCCCATGGTCATAGCTAGTAACTGGTCAAGATAGGATTTAAGCGCATGTTCCCTCTATTAGACAAAGTGGACTTGACACAATAATGGCTGCATCGTGGCAGTGGTTAGAAGAATGTTTCTTACCATGAAATTGCTTTTCAGTCATCATTTACCAGGGAATTGGAATTGAGGTGGCTTTACTTATAACATAGCATTAAGAAAGTGAATCTGGGATTTAGATAAAAAAGGATGTATTTCTAGGGTATAAAAAATTCCAAAGTGTAAAAAGTGGAGTTGATGGAAATCAGGGCAAAATAGGATGAAAGGAGAAATACCCTTATAATGGCCAAAGGCAGATCTGGTTAGTTAGAAGTTGGTTGAAATAAGTTCAAAGGACTCAATTTAGACCTTAAACTTGTACCAAGTTTTGTGAATAAGGAAAAATGGCCTATGTGTTAAGTGCCTGGTTTGTTTTCAGAAATTACTTTTTGTTTTGTGAACTAACTGGAGCATTTTCAATGGCATCTGCATCGATGGACAAGGATACTACTGGAAATTTGTTTGTGTAGAGGGGTGGTGGAGTTGGAGGAAAGGACTGTTACAGAGGAAAAATGAAAAGAGATGGCTTAAGACTTTCGGAGGCAAGGTTTTTGGAAGCAAAACCCACCATTTCCATTCCGAAGGAGTGGCTATTTTCCAGTGGATATTTTTCATTTTTTATTATACTTTAAGTTCTGGGGTACATGTGCAGAATGTGCAGGTTTGTTACAAAGGTAAACATGTGCCATGGTGGTTTGCTGCATCCATCACCCCGTCATCTACATTAGATATATCTCCTAATGGTACCCCTCCCCATCCCCCCATCCCCCGCAATCCCTCCCCTAGCTTCCCACCCCGCCAACAGGCCCCAGTGTATGATGTTCCCCTCCCTGTGTCCATGTGTTCTCATTGTTCAATACCCACTTAGGAGTGAGAACATGCAATGTTTGGTTTTCTGTTCTTGTGTCAGTCTTCTGAGAATGATGGTTTCCAGCTTTATCCATATCCCTGCAAAGGACATGCACTCATCCTTTTCATGGCTGCATAGTATTCCATGGTGTATATGTGCCATATTTTCTTTAACCAGTCTATCACTGATGGGCATTTGGGTTGGTTCCAAGTCTTTGCTATTGTGAACAGTGCTGCAATAAACATATTTTTCTGCAGTATCACCTAAATGAGATGAGCTGTTAGATGTCTCTTTAGTCATAGGCTTTCCTTGCATCATGTTCAATTTGGACTTAGGCAGCAACCAATTAAAATGGCTACTGAAAGCTGTTTGCATTAGAGAATGAGAAGACAGATCAGCTACTGGGAGACAATGTATGCAAATCACATGAAAAATAACTTATATCCAGAATATATTAAAAAAAACTCTCAAAACTCAATAACAAGAAAAAGGAAACTTCAATTAAAAATGAGCAATAGAACGAGCATGGTGGTGCATACCTGTAGTTCTGTATTCTGGTTAAGTTGGTGGTTATATGAATCTACAGTCTCAGCTACTTAGGAGGCTGAGGTGGGGGAATGGCTTGAGGCCAGGAATTTGGGGACAGGCTGGGCGAAATAGCAAGACCCCCATTTGTTAAAAAATGGGGCAAAAGATACGAACAGATACTTTACTAAAGAATGGAAAAAAGAATATAGAAAGATGTTCAACATTATTAGTCATCGAGGAAATGTAAAATAAATCATTATTAAATGTGACTATATAACCATCAGAATGGATAAAAAATTACTGACAATATTAAGTGATGGCATGGGAAGCAAGCGGAGTTCTCATACATTGCTAGTTGAAATGCAAAACTGGTACAACCACTCTAGAAAAGTGTTTGGCAGCTTCTTATACATGTAAACATGCTTATTACCTCATTCCTGGTTATTTATTCTAAAAACATGAAAGCTTATGGTCATATAAAAATTGGGGCAGAGATACTTATAGTAGCTCTGTTCATAATTGCCAAAAACTGGAAACAATCCAAATGTCCTTCAAAAGGTGAACAGATAGGCAAAATGCAGTAATCTAGCCAAAAGAATACTATTTAGCAATAACAACTTGAATGGATCTCAGAGGCTTTATGCTAAGTGAAAGAAGCCCAACTCCAGTGGCGCATATGACTCTATTTACATGACATTCTGGTAAAGGTGAAACTATAGGAATAGAAAATATCAGTGGTTACCAGGATGTATGGATAGGTGGAAGAGGTGACTAAGAAAAGGATATTACAAGTAATTATTTTGAGCTAATAGAAGAGATCTGTGTTCTGGTTGTGGTGGTTATATGAATCTATACATGTTTTAAAATTCATAGAACCATACACTAAAAGGTAAAGAGTCAGTTTATGATATGACATCTAACTGTATGATAATTTAAAGAAGCAAACAAAAAATTTCCACCCCTAATCAAAGAAAAAGGTGTTTGCCCTTTAACACGAAGATTTTGGATTATTGGGCTTTACCTGAATAGGACATATTTTCTGGATAATCAGGAATGCAGTAATCACTGGTTGGGTTCATTTCTGATGATTCTCCCCCCAGATTGACACACTTCGTTCAGTGTTGGAATACACATGGATTATTGTTGAGTTCTCCTGACCTGGGAGTGAGGTTTTAAAGTAAATTACCAAATCTCTTATACAATATACTCTGTATTGCTTTTATAATTCATTGAAAAGCCTCAGGCAAGTTGGGACACAAGCAGGTAGTCTTGGAGCCTAGGCTGTGCTATACATTAGTTATATGACTTTAGGCTGAACTCTCTCACTTTAGGTTTTCTTATCTTTCAAAGGATAATGTGGAGTTTAAATGAAGTAACATGTAAAAAAAAAATCACAAAGTTTCTGGCCCAGAATGAGTGATCAATATCATAGCTTCCCCTGATAGTTCTCTTTCTGCATTGTTTATTTCTTTCATTCTCTTTCCCTATGTTCCTTTCTCCTCTTCCCTATTTTTTCCCTTTCTTCAATACTTTTATTAGGTT